AAGTACCTTTCTCTAGTCTAGTATCTTCTCTACACTTTAGTGTCTCTCTCTTTCTCTCTCTCTCATCGCTACCCCGCCGTACAGCACATGGCTAAACACAAAGCCGCCCGCCGTACCCTCAATTCGTACTCCGTCAAGCACATTAACAAAACCATCCGCCGTGAGTTTCTCTATTGTGTCGGATTCTGATTTCAATTCGAGCTCATTTGTATTGTACTTGCGTCTGCACAAGTTACCTGAGTTAGATTCTGCGTAATTTTGCTTTCCTTTTCCTAATCGATTGCTTTCTCGCTTCTCTTCAGCCGGAGACTGCGTTTTGATGCGTCCTTCAGAGTCGTCAAAACCGTCATACGTGGCGCGCGTGGAGAAGATCGAGGCCGACAGCCGTGGCGCGAACGTGAGGGTGCACGTGAGGTGGTATTACCGTCCGGAGGAGTCTCTCGGCGGTCGGCGGCAATTCCACGGCTCGAAAGAGGTGTTCTTGTCCGATCATTTTGACACCCAGAGTGCAGATACTATTGAGGGCAAGTGTACGGTGCACAGCTTCAAGGGCTACACCAAGCTTGATGCTGTCGGGAACGAAGATTTTTTCTGTCGTTTTGAGTACAATTCTTCTACTGGAGCTTTCAATCCAGACAGAGTCCCTGTGTACGTTATTATTTTTGGCTAATTCTAGAAATTGGTGGTCTTCGAGGTGAACTCCTTCAAAACTTGTGACTTTTAAAATTTTGGTGCAACAATCTATTCTGAGTGAGTCTTTCCTCATTTGGTTTAGGGATTTCGTTTTGAAGCTTTAGTTACTATCTGTGGTTGAAGTAGCTTAGAATTAGTGTATAATTTGAATTAAGATCGTCTACGTCTACTTACCTGGTTTCTAGTTTAGTCAGCATTATGATGAGTGTTTTCTTGTTCTTACATGAAACAATTCACTTGATAAATTGTTTTTATATATGCAACTTAACTTGATAAATCATTTTCCGGTCATCAATTTAATTTATTTATTATTTTTACTGCATGATGGCTGAAATGTGGTTCAGTATTATTTCATTCCTAAAGGAATGCTAATGTTTTTTTCTCTTTCTTTTATTTAGGTTTTAAGTCACAGAAAATAAAAGAATTTGAGGTACTTTTCAGTTATAAATTTGGGGGTTTTATAGGGTATTTTGTACTGGTGAGAAAATAGATTTAAAGATTTTATTTTCAAAGTAAAAGAAAAAAAAAATTGAGGGTTCTCTTAGTTATTTAATCTAAGTTTTGTATCTGGTGTTTTTGGGCGAGGAGTGCAAGAGAAAAAGAGAACAATGAATTGGAAAGTGGGCAATAAATCATATGACAATAAATTAAAGACGGAGAGAGTACATAAAACTAAGTGATTTGGAAGTAAAGCCTATTACAACCTTTTTGGGTTTATGATTGACAGGAAAGACGTCTAACAGTATTCAGTTTATTGCTTTGTTTGTGGTCTTTATGCTTCAACTATATAACCAAATTGTTAGTACGTGAAAGGAGATGACCTTATATGTATCAATATGTTCTGTACTTGAACATGAAAATAGGGTATATTTGCCTTTAACAATGTCAGATTTTGGTTCTGATTGCTTTTTATCTGAAATATCTGCTGTTCGTAGCCCATTGAAGGAGAAACATGAGTGTCACTGAGTTAGATTATGATAACGTGATTAGACAATTTAAGTTGGATGGTCATTGTTGACTTTGTACATAAATATATTACTTGGATGACATTGTTATTGCGTAGATTCCTGTTTTTTCTGTTATGTTGTCCTTCATTGGTCCTTTTTGGCCATTAATATTTTTGTTTGATGTTTTAGTTAATTGTTGTTGTCGGATAACTAGCTGCTGAATATTTGTGGCAATGCTGTAAATTTTAATTTTTGTGAGATCAAAATAAAATTAGATTGTAAAGATTTGGCCCCATCTTGCTGTTTATCTTAGTGGCTTTGAAGGGTTTTGTATTGGTTGGTGATCATCTTTGTGTTACACGAACATTCAGTGATA